AGTGTGACGTCAGTGCGCCGCCGGCTCGATACGCGCCCGGCCCGTCGTCAGTCGCCGCCCGCTCCAGGCCGCTGAGCGTCGCGCCTTCCGGGACTACCTACCCGCGCGCTCTCTCTCATACCGGGTTTTAGTTTCGTACCACGATGACATAGCCTTAGTGCCGTGCAACGAGACTACTTGAAAGCGCACACACATTTTTAAGTTTATTCGTTAAAACGAGGAAACCATAAAGGTCCCCGTTGTTGCAGAACTAGCGACGACCCACCCCATTCCGTTGAGGGACAGAGGCGAGACCGAGAGGCGGCTCACATCTTTTTGTCCGCCTTTTTTTTAGAGACTAGCGAAAATGGGCGAGGTGAGTGCGGTGCTTGCAGTAGGTAGTGCTTGCCCTTAGCGTTTGCAGTAGAGACCCCCCTGCGCGGGTCCAGTGCTTTCGTGATGTGTAAGTGCATGAGAAGGAAGTGATAGTGAGACCGCCGGCGTGACTCTGGTGCCGCCTGGTGCTGTGCTGCGCTCAAGCCTGCTCCTAGTCCTGCCCGATGCTGCACGCAGGACTCAATTTGCACGTTCCGCTATCTTTGTTCCCTCACCGCAATCGATGTGCAGCATTAGTTTGCGCATCTGTCACTCAGCGTGATCAAAGATTTCATCTCATTGTCTGCAACATTGTTTCATATTGATCATTTTTCGTTTAGCGCATCTCTGTACTCCAATAATATCGTAATTCCTTTCACATAAGTAGTGTCATTAGTTATCTGTGTAATCTAGTGACCAGTGAAAAATATCATGCTGTAGAAGAGACGGCGCCGCCGGCTGGGTTGCGTAACTTGTCGGTATCGATCTGTGCAGGACCGACATTCTGTTTTCACATTCTATGCATAAATCCTTCCTCAAGACATCATTAGAACTATTAACATGACTTAAGATAACTAAATATGGGAATGTAGTTAAATATTTCATAGTAAATCTCTCCATAATTTTGAATTAAATATACTTATAAAGTTTCTTTGTTTTGCATGCAATGTGCAAGTTGAACAAAAGTTTTCTGATATCCCATACCGCTCTTGATATTAGACAAACCATAATTATACACAATTAGCCTTTATTGTTAAGGTTTTTTCAAGTACATCTAAAAAACTTATGTGTGTCTAACGAATTAAAGTTAAATGCAATTTAATGGATAAAAACAGACATTAATTTGTAAATAATTAACATTTCTGGCCATTATTATATTTGATAATTTTGCATTCACAATGCTCTCAGAGTGCCAGGTACAAAATGGATTTTGTAAGCATTTTTCATTAAAAATATTAATTTTTAACTTCACAGCAAATGTAAAACTTTGAACCTATACGGAATACTTTCGAATTTAATATTTCACTCGTAAATATCCATAAATCTGTCGTGAATGTTTGTCTCATATTCACAAGTGAGGTTTTCTCCTGTGATGCGACAGAGGTAGGCCGAGAATCGTTTAAGAAGATTCGCTAGGTGCTCCGAAGGAAGTAGCTAACAGGTTGCGGGACCCGCCGTGCTTCGGCCCGAGAACTGTAAGCCCGAAGGTTTATTAGAAAATTGCCTCGTCATTATGTCATTTAAATCGCATAGAGTACTGTAGCTCTATTGGAGTATTTCCTCTATCCTTTGTGACGGCAGCGTGCATCAATTAGGATGCTAGAGACACGGTCACTATGTAGTTTCCAGAAGTTGGAATTACTTAATTTACTTGATTGTTTCATACGCTGATTAACCTTAGATGATCAATGTATCGGTGTCGACTTCAAATATTATCTTGCATCGATTTATATGTTCGTATATAGATTTCATTTTCTGTAAAGGGATAGATTTAAAGTGATCACGAAAAAAGCAATCCATTACACTTATCAAGTCCCCTCTAATTCGCTTAAGTGAAATTGTCGGATTTTAATGAAAAGACATAGAATCTTCTATACCAAATAATAAACTATCTTTCTCTAGGCAACTGTAATAATTTTAATGTCTTTTTCATTTGCAAGTAGTTTACTATAAAACCAACACTTTTTTAGACTTCTATCTAAATAATTAGATACTCAAATAGATTCCATACTTTGGTGATTGCGTAAAAAGTGCTATGTTGTCTGAAATATTAATTTATACATCATTTATGTGCAACAGAACAAAATATTAATAAAACTAAAAGTAAATCTGAAAAAAACCGTCGGCATTAAAATGCAAAATGAATCAAGGCAAATAGGCCCAGTATTCCATAATATTTCCTATTAGTTGACATTACTTACTTGTCTTAGTTATTTTTAAATTTATATGATGAATATTGATATTATGTTTTCCAAATTATTACTTAAATGACATCGCTAGGGGAGACGCGAAAAACAGTTTCTCATATTGTGTTTTACTCTTACGTTTCCCATTGCTATTCATTACGATTTGTAATGAAATCGAGACCATTATGCTTCCATGGTCATTGCAGCGTCCGTGACAGTCCTTGAGTACGTTTGTCACATCGTGTAACACTATCAGTCACTTGCATAACTCATTATATAAGTATATCAACGACAGTTTGAATGTCTTTATTAGATTTACCTCTTTTACAATATTCAGTCCCTTTCACGAAATTATTAATAAAACTCTATTGTATTATTTGCTTAATTCGTCATTGCTAAGTTTTTGAACTTTATTATCCAGAATAAGAAAGAAAACGATTACGTCCTTTCAAAGGTTATCTACATTAAGTAGATTACAAGTATTTACATATAATATCACACTTTTTTGTTTGTTATAATTTAATATTCTGTATTTTTTAAATTTAAATCGTGACTTTCATATAAAGGTTGACCTATGATGATAACATTTTCAAATCATATATTATATTCATTATTACTGTTACTAGCTCCTTTGGTATGATTTCTCATATTATCCAACATCAACACATGCAATGTCTCAAAACTTGTCCGACTTTATAATCTTACGTCTAAACATATGATATAAAAAATTATTTCTGTGATATGATACCTAATCGTTTCAATGAGCTAGAGTCTTCTGTAAAATATAGAGTAACAGTTATTAAAATTCAGTCTTAGAAATTCTAATGATTTATTTAGTATGATATAATTTTAAAATAGAACCCAATTTATTTGTGCATAAAAAACAGTAACACATTATGTTTATCTTTCTCGGTAGATAGATATTACGTTTTGGCATCACCACGCGTGTCGCCGCCGCCGTCAGACGAGAGATATCATACGACTCATTAATGTTAAATATAATTGTCTCATTCACACGTCATGCCTCCACTACAGTAGTAACCACATATTTTCGGTACAAAGCGGTTATGTGGCCATGGCACTGAATCTTTCTGGTGCCAGTTCATTGACATTTTCTATTTACATTTAGTTGAACACATTATTTTTATAATTAGCCTTTCGATGACCGAATTTTATATTTCGTAATATACATTCAGACTTATAAATTTAATAAAATGTTTTTGTGTTATCGTCTATTTTAAAAAAAAAACATCTCTCAGGACGTTATGCGTATAAATATTTCACAGGTCCTGTTTCAAAACCTCATCTTAAACTTAATGTGTTCCATAAAGTTAACGACTTTTCTTTTGTCTGGTGTCCTTGTCAAGGACGTCACTTTTATTCCGGTATATTTTGTCAAATTGCTCTCGTCCCCCTTTTAAGATGTGCTAATGTAATGACTTGTCAGCCCTTCAGAGCTACTAACATTTCATTCTAAAGAGAACCAGTTTCGATTTTCCATCAGATATTCCGGTTTAACCTTTATAGAGATTATAAATGCGGTCGTCGGGGTTGGGGGGATGGCAACCTTGTGTTTCAGCTATTTATGTGGAGGGCGGGGGGCCGCGCGCGCACTCCCGCCCTGTTATATAACGCGCCGGACATGCCGCGCGTCTGCCACTCCTCATAACCTCATCCTTGGCTCTCCTATGAATATTCCATCACACCCTGGTACGTTTACGGTGTTCTTTATGCCTCTAATTAAGCGCTGCCAGTAAACATTGAATTATTCACCGGGTGCCTTTAGCGACCGCTTTTCTGCCCTGGGTGATTACAGAGCGCCCCACCGCAATCTCTTAGCGCTATGAACGCGTGTCGCTCTAGATATTCTGAACGCGACCTTCGGAAGAATTCAGGGCGCTGTTTAATGAGACTGCTGCATGTACACGACTATTAATTATCGGCGACTGCGAACTTGTTTACGGTACCGGGGACGCATTTAGCACCGGCGACATTACCGTGGCTGCCTCTATACCGCTATATGCCACCGTGGCTATACTTACGTAATAAATAGGTACACGATTCCCGGATGCATATTGGTAAATAGGAATACAAGTATAGTAACTAATGCTTGACTGATCGTTTATGTTCATTATGATTGGAAATATCAACGGAGTATTTATTACTCAACATAAAAATGTTGAAGAATTTAAGAGTTTAAATTTTTCGGCGAACTAGTACTTAGTCTGATGCACCAATGGACATGCAAACGAATTGTGCCATTTATAAACGGTGTTGTTATGTACTCGCCGCTATTATGAGTGTCAGATCGTCATGAGCTACTAGTTAAATTGAACGTTATTGCCGGTGGTCCTGAAGGGCGGCGGCGGTGCGTCTACAGCAAGGTTACTTCATTATATGTTGCCATGAGCAAATGCGCATGCTTCACATTTTTTACCTACTTAGCTTAGAATCATTACCACATATATCTTTTCTATAGTTATTATGTTACTCGTTTATATCATTATCATGGTATACAATCGAAAACACTCGATTCGATCCTTTCAGACTTTTTTTATCATTACTTTCATTTATGAGGTACATTTTGCATAGCTCGTTGGATTGTATACCTTTATTAATATGTTAATATTCCTGTACACATAAGAGCGTTGCAATATGAGCCTCATTTAGCTTCATGAGTGCTGCATGGTCCATAGGGCCGCCTAGTAGAATGTGTCTAGCCCCTAGTTGTGTTTCCAGCATGGCAGATCCGACTCGTACCGCGTCGCCACCATCGGCCCCATTAAGGACGATAATAGGACCGCTGACGGACAGTATAAGGTTTTTATTCATCATCTTCCATTTTATTTTTGCCAGTGACTAATTGAATAGTAACTACATCAAGGATGTCCATAGACGCTGAATCCTTGTGTGCATGTTTTAGATTTAATTTTATATTGCATTTGATTCATTAATCCATTACGCTTTCTGATAAATTAAGATTTTAAAATAAAATTTAAGTAATTTTTTGGATGATACCGTTTTATGGTAGGTATTGGCTTTAACGATTTTTTTTTCCATTAAATGTTTGCAGACGCGCCGGAAACCACCCGCAAAAAAACGAAAAACAGGAGATTTAGATGATCTTAAACAGGAATTGGACATTGACTTTCACAAAGTAACACCCGAAGAACTTTACCAAAGATTTCAGACACATCCAGAAAATGTAAGTGAATAAAATATATTGAACTATAAACGCTGTAGATTTTTTTAAACATTTTTAATTTTTGTGCTATACTGTAAGCTCATAATTTTGGATACTCGTATACATACCTTAATATTTTATTATAAGATCGATAAAATCAATTGCAATTTCAAGGTTGCATCGTCTACATATTCCAAAAACTTATAGTTTACTGGGTGAAATTTAAGAAGTAATTCAAATTATTCTTCAGAAAACTGTTAACTTTTGAAGCTGTTCTAATTTTATCGTACCGTGATAAAAAAGAATTTAAAGTAATCACATTAATTTTTAAAGACTACGTTGGCAGCTGTTCGCAATTTTTAGGCAAAGGTCGATTCCGAACCCAAATATCGCTAGGCGTATGCGATAATATATCTAATTTTTCAGGGCCTTAGTCACGCAAAAGCGAAAGAAAACCTGGAGAGGGACGGTCCAAACGCACTCACGCCGCCCAAACAGACACCCGAATGGGTGAAGTTTTGTAAAAACCTATTTGGTGGATTCGCTTTACTACTTTGGATTGGTGCTATTCTATGCTTTATCGCTTACGGAATTCAGGTCAGTGTTCCAACGACGTCAGTCGACAACTTCTACTTTGTTAGACGGTTTTATCGTTTTTTATATAGCAAACTCTGTGGAAAATTTGAGTCTACAATAAATATACAATTTAGTATCGGTCATACATAACATGAAATATTACAGTCGCTACAAATATGTTAATTAATTTTGTCTTAAACTTAGAAAAATAATCATAAATCAGCTTTTGAGTGATTATAGTACTCAACGGAAATAAAAGTTGTCTCCATCTTTTCAGAATTCTTACAAATAATAATCACTTTATTTATTTTGATCAGTAATATAAGTTTTTGCCCGGCGCAGTTGATTTTGCACAGCAAAATGTAACTTGTAATATTTATTCCAGGCGAGTACCGTAGAGGAACCAGCGGACGATAATCTTTATCTGGGTATCGTATTGGCAGCAGTGGTAATCGTGACCGGCATATTCTCGTACTACCAGGAGAGCAAGTCCTCAAAGATCATGGAATCCTTCAAGAATATGGTGCCTCAATTCGCTACAGTGATCCGTGAAGGAGAGAAGTTAACGTTGCGCGCTGAGGACTTGGTGCTTGGAGATATTGTAGAAGTAAGTGTTGATGACTCATTAATTCCTACATAGTAGTGTGTATAAACTATATGAAATAGTATATCATGACACTGAGTGGTATATTAACGGTCCACAGACTAAGATCTGGACTACTAAACTCGCTGTTGTGTTTATTTGACTATTGTTAATAGTTTAGATCTTTTTTTTTAAGAACGTGACTGTCTGATTTCATTTAGGTGGCTGATAATCGAAATCTCTTTGCCTACTATATCTGGTGACATATATGGGATAGGAACTTTATAACTCCTAATTTTAATCACAAATAATATTGATGTCACCTAGTTATGTGTTTTTTCAATGAGTAAATCAAACAACATCAATATGTTCTTCAATTTAGGTAAAGTAGTATTATAGAAACACGTAACGATGAAAATACCACTTGAATTTAGGAATTGAACCGGGCATCTCACCCATGCCAACACATTGGAAATGGCGTTGACCTGACTACAAAGATAGTTGGATATAAATAATTAATATCGAGTGTAAATCAGGTGAAATTCGGCGATCGGATCCCAGCCGACATTCGCATCATCGAAGCTCGCGGCTTCAAAGTAGACAACTCGAGTTTAACGGGAGAATCTGAACCTCAGTCGCGTGGAGCGGAATTCACCAACGAAAACCCCCTAGAGACCAAGAACCTCGCCTTCTTCTCAACCAACGCCGTCGAGGGCACCGCCAAAGGCATCGTCATATGCTGCGGCGACAACACGGTCTGTACTTTCTTTCTAAACATATTTATGTTTTTTTTTTCATCATCACCAGTTTTATGACCACATTCGGCACATGACTTCTTATATACAGTTCCAAATATAGAGGGATCCTTAGCTTACGAGTGGTGGGTGCAAAACATTGCAGATGAAATCAGGAGCGAAGGTTTAGCATAGCTACCGAAGCACGAAACAGTTTCATTTCATAAGGTTTTTTTGCCTTGCGAATTTTAAAATACGCAGCATAGACTGACGATTTTTTTTTTTTATTTAAATATGCTCACATCTCCATGGGATTGCAAATCTATTTGATGTAAGACATATGAATGACCCATTATAATAACAATTTTTACCACCACGCGTTTTTGAGAGAGTCTTAACAGCTAGATAGATAGGCACAACCATATCTAAATAAAATAAAGGTTAGTTTTTTCCTTTCGAAGTACGGAGCCCCTAAAAAATATATTTACAGACTAAATATCGTTGAATGAAATTAAGATTAATTTTTTTTATCAGGTTTTTTTAAAAAATTCGGGTCTTAACCAAATTATTTAACTTAAACGTATGTTCTACTTTTTCACTTTCAGTTAAGGCTTTATTTCTTTCGATTACAAATTTGATAATAGTGTTTTGGTCGATGCGGTACTTAACAGTCATTTGTATACCTCGTTAGCTATAATCCAGTTAAAGTAGGTATCAATGGGTGTCACGTTACGTGGACAGTGCGGAGTCCTGCCGACATCACCTTGACCGATTTAGGGTTTCATGTCTGCTCGCAACTTCCGGATACAGTTAATGCGATCATGCCACACACGAAATGAAAAATAAACTGTGAATGCTTGACAAGCCGTTATTTATGCTTTATTTGTTATGATAATTCTTTTTAAAATAAACCTTTATTGTTTTTTCTCTGAAATAACGTAAGTGAAAATGGGTTTGAAAGATTTATTATTGATCACCAGACGGTGATGAAAAGTTAATAATGATATCGGGTAATACGAAATTAAAATATTGTAGTATGGAGCAAACATTATAAACGTGTTTGGTTCTTGGATAAAAATAATAATTTGTGTGTCGACCTAATAAAACAATTTTATCACTGGCCGTTATTTTGAAAAAAAAAGAAACATGAAAATGGTGCATGTTCAAGTTGTGTGACCAAATAATGTAAAGCTCTAATTCGCTATGAACTTTAACACCTTCGACACAAAGTTCTAAATTGGTTCTAATAAATGGTCATTTTTAAATGTTCTCTTGACATTTTATTGGTAATATTTGATCACTCCGTTGAAAGAAAGTCCAAAGAAAGGACAGGCGCTGTTCTAAAGTGATAGAAAGAACAAACAAACAATCATATGTATATAACGAAGCGCGTAATATACAGGTGATGGGTCGCATTGCTGGTCTTGCTTCTGGTTTGGACACTGGGGAGACTCCGATCGCTAAGGAAATCCATCACTTCATTCATCTGATCACCGGCGTAGCTGTATTCCTGGGCGTTACATTCTTCGTCATCGCCTTTATCCTCGGCTACCACTGGCTCGATGCTGTGATCTTCCTAATCGGTAAGCCATACCAAGATTAATTATAAAACACTAATAGCCTTGAAAGTCTAGACAGGTAACATTTAAAATAACAACGTTTGATATACGAGTATTCAGATATCGTTACATTTTGATTTTTAAAAATAAATTATAATTTGAGTTACTGCTCCTATGTTGTACCCTGTTCCTTCGGCAGACTGAAAAACGGAAACAATGCTGAGTTCTATGAATATTACATGCCGTTAATTTCAAGTCTCACATAAAATTTTTGGTCATTGTTCTTTATTTCAAATACAAATAATAATGAAGCTTGATTTAGTTATTCATTTTATGCGAATATGTATATGTATAACTTATGTCTTAAATAAATAATCACTACCAGTTTGAGAAACAATAAAATTATGCTTTGATCAGGTATCATCGTGGCGAACGTGCCCGAAGGTCTGCTAGCAACGGTGACCGTATGTTTGACTCTGACTGCAAAGCGAATGGCCTCCAAGAACTGTCTGGTGAAGAACTTGGAAGCGGTAGAGACCCTCGGCTCCACGTCCACTATCTGTTCGGATAAGACCGGCACACTAACGCAAAACCGTATGACCGTCGCCCACATGTGGTTCGACAACCAGATCATTGAAGCGGATACTACTGAGGATCAGTCCGGTGTTCAATACGGTGAGTTGATATTGAGGAGTTCTTGTCAAAAAATAATTATACAATGTTACATGCTGTTACGTCTTATGTTATTATACTATACAACCATTTTCATTTGTCATTTACTACTTAAATTCATTTTTTTTTAGTACTGTAAGAAAAGACGACTAACTTAAAGAAATCCTATATAATATGAACTTATTTTTGAATATCATTAGATTGTTTAATTTACTCAGTGTCATGAATGATACGGAAATCCCGTATTTAATATATTTCTAAAGTAAATTCTATTTGCGGGTCTAACAGTTTATGCGACGGTCGATTACAAAATATCAGGTATCACACATATTTGAAATTTACAATTCGTACAGTGTAGCGTGGCATCAGACGTTGTTTTTTGCACCTTATGGGTTATTGTAACAAGATTTTAACTCTAATAAACCAGATGTTCGGATATAATTAACCGGTATTATGTATTGTCAGATCGCACAAGTCCCGGATTCAAAGCGTTGGCGAAGATCGCGACTCTATGCAACCGCGCAGAGTTCAAGGGTGGCCAGGACGGGGTGCCCATACTGAAGAAGGAAGTAGCCGGCGATGCATCGGAAGCGGCGTTACTCAAATGCATGGAACTCGCCTTGGGAGATGTGCTCTCCATACGTAAACGGAACAAGAAAGTCTGTGAAATACCATTTAACTCGACCAACAAATACCAGGTTAATCTTTGATTTATTTAACTCTGTTTTTATACGATATTATCGATCCTATAACAGTTAACCTCTGATAGTTCACACTGCTTATTCTCTCTCTTTCTCTTTCTTTCCATTAGCGAAACTATAGACTCTCTTATCGATGTTTTTGTTGGGCGAAATATTGGTCAGGAGACACACTTAGTTTATACGTATACCAGATATAAATTTTAGCGTATACGGCGAATGGTACGAATTATCGCTCGTTCTAATCGTACTCTGGTTTATAGCCCAGCGACAGATAACTCGTTAGTTTATCATGGACGGTCGGACAACTGCCTAACATATCAATTAATGAGTATGTATTATGATTCAGGTATCTGTACACGAAAGTGACGACCCATCAGATCCTCGTCACTTGCTGGTGATGAAGGGCGCGCCCGAAAGGATTCTGGAGAGATGCAGCACCATCTTCATTGGCGGCAAGGAGAAGGTCAGCTCTACAGATTAAAATTATTAGATTTTAATCTATGGACGAAAAGATCCATTCGACGATTCAATAGTAGTATATTACTGATAGAGGAAAAAAGATTGACTGCTACTGGCAGCACTAATTGTCGATTATACCTATCGTGTCAGTTACCTGTCACTTTGACGTTTGATCAGTTTCGCGGCAATTTATACTCCCGTGGTATTATTCTCGTAATATTATTGGAATCAACATTGTGATTTTAAAAATATCGAAAGAGTAGTGAAATTTCCCTATTAATACAAAGTTTCATAACAGGTGCTAGACGAAGAAATGAAGGAGGCTTTCAACAATGCTTATCTGGAGCTGGGTGGGCTGGGTGAGCGAGTACTCGGTTTCTGCGACTTACAACTGCCATCTGACAAGTATCCTATCGGGTACAAATTCAACACGGACGATCCCAACTTCCCCCTGGACAACCTTCGATTTGTCGGCCTCATGTCCATGATTGATCCACCCCGTGCCGCCGTCCCAGATGCTGTCGCGAAGTGCCGATCGGCCGGAATCAAGGTTAGAGAAAAAAACAGTTTTAGAAAAAAACAGTCTGTCAATATCCCAACTTCAGGAACACATATAATTAGAATCGCACAGGGAAAACACGGCCTCGGTGTGCGTATTGCTGGCTGCTAACGACGGCAGGTGTACTCCGGAACAACAATGCATGGAAGTCTTAGAGATATCAAATTTTTGGTCACCCATCCGTTGACTGACTTTGGAAAAGTGGCTCAACTTCTGTAAACGCAAACTAAACGGGTTAAAAACTGTGCCATCCAGCGTATTTACCTTACGTCATTTCAAGTCATCATAGAACTATAATGTTCACAACAATCGATTTTCAAAAACGGGTTTCAGAGTATCGATCTCTTACAATAACATTAATCACTAACTAAATATCAGTATGATAGCTTTTCTTTTCATAATCAATCCATAGCTGATCATTTTCTTGTTTATCACACAACAGAAAATAATAAGCAAAATGTACATTTTTATTTTCTCTGTATGATTGTATTTTATTGTAGGGTTACATTTCGTATATAAACAGCATTGTTAATGTTGGATTCGTTTTGATTCCGATCAGGTGATAATGGTGACCGGAGACCACCCGATCACGGCGAAGGCGATCGCGAAGTCTGTGGGCATCATATCGGAAGGCAACGAGACAGTGGAGGATATCGCCGCCAGGCTCAACATTCCCGTATCCGAAGTGAACCCGCGCGAAGCCAAGGCAGCCGTCGTACACGGCACAGAACTCAGAGAACTGAACTCGGACCAACTGGATGAAATACTCAAGTCAGTCTCTAAATATCACTGCATACAATATAATAATAACTTGCTTACTCTACATGCACTTTAATTTATACAATACTAGCTTTCGGCGAGCGGATTCGACCATGTCCCTATGGAACTGTTTGGTGGGATTAAAAATCATCAGTTCAACTTACGTGTCGTGCAATATATTAATATATTACTAGGATTCCCTAAGTTAAATTTCATGCATTTGCTTCAGTAGATAAATATTTGGAAATTATCGATTAACAATATGATTACATATACGTGCAGGTATCATACTGAGATCGTATTCGCACGGACATCGCCGCAGCAGAAACTGATCATTGTTGAGGGATGTCAGCGTCTGGGCGCCATCGTGGCTGTAACTGGCGATGGTGTTAATGATTCGCCCGCTCTCAAGAAAGCCGATATTGGCGTCGCTATGGGTATCGCCGGTTCCGACGTTTCCAAACAGGTAATGTACAATTTTAAAAACATTAAAACGTTAGATTCTGATTGGGAATATATGTCTGATTCAAAAAAGGATTAAATATAATTATTGCTTTAGAATAAAGTCTAAGTAAAGATTTTTTAACATTAGTTCGTTTTTCTTGAAAATAATTATCAAAAATTCAAACAAAATGCGGTAACTTCAAATTTTCAAACGTCCTACTACTTCTCCGAGCGGAAGCGAAAAAAATGTACACATATAGGGATGTTTTTTGAAAGAATTAAATATTTAACATCGATGTATTATTTCGCAAAATAAATAACAGACTTAATTTTTGTTATGTAACGATACAGATACAGTTATACGAGTATAATGATGTAAATTATCATATGAAAACATTTTCAAAAAATGAGCGCACAAACAAATAACCTCTTCATTCGTGATAACAATTATCAAGAAATGACAATTGACGAAGAATCTATGGATTGCACGTTTGCTGTAATCGAGAATCACAATCAGTGGAGCTATACTTGTTATTTAGCACAAGACGTGTAGTATTGATATGCCTGGAACATTTTAGGAAAATTTATATATTATTGTTAATGTATTTCATCGTATACATATAAATCATTCGTTAATAAGCGAGCTGCAGCTTTTGTAGAAAATAAATTTTACATAACTTAATCGCGGTGGCATATCCATATTAATATGTACTTACATTTAATCCCGAAAGATGTACTATTCTTAGTCAGATTATTGGTATAACGCTTGACGAAGGGAAATATTAACATTGGAATCGCCCTTTAAGTTTTGTCTTCGTTCATCTCACAGGCCGCTGACATGATCCTTCTGGACGACAACTTTGCGTCGATAGTGACGGGAGTGGAGGAGGGTCGCCTTATCTTTGACAATCTAAAGAAATCTATTGCGTACACACTCACCTCTAACATCCCCGAAATTTCTCCTTTCCTTGCCTTCATCCTCTGCGACATCCCCCTGCCTCTCGGCACTGTTACTATCCTCTGCATAGATCTCGGAACTGACATGGTAAGTTTAACTTTATTTTATAAAACAAAAGATCTGTTTTCCTTTGAAAAGGTATTGCATCGAAAGAGTCGTCATTGTCATTTATTGAGTAATTTTCATATAACTTATCTCCATAAATAACGCCATAAATTAAATCAGTACGCGTTTAGTAAGAACTAAAGAGCAAATCATAAGGCAACAGAAGTTTAGTCAAAGCAGCTACAGTTTATACGCAACAACAATATTCCTTTTATAATCATTGTACACTTTTAATGTAATACCTAATAATTGTAATGCAGTATTGTAAAGATTTCTAATAAATCATTTAATGACATTCAAATCATTTATTTTTTAAGCGATTGTTTATTGACAGTTTTGAAAGCGAGTGTTAGAAATCGTTACACCGAAATATTTATTAATAGTTATTTACAATAAATAGAATCTACAAAGATGATTGGTCGTCGTATACAGTATGTCTTTCTTAAGATTTTAGCGTGATGGGAGCTGACTGTTTATTTGTTGTTATTAAATGAGTGATTGACGTTAGGTGCCAGCAATCGCCCTAGCATACGAATCTGCCGAGGCGGACATAATGAAACGGCCGCCTAGGAACCCGTTCTGTGACAAGCTTGTCAACGAGAGGTCTCTATACGTGTTGCGTATTGTGTGGACGCATTTCTACTAACTGGGTTACAGCTAATGCCTGTGTCTCGATATCGTTACGGTGTTACTTTAATACGGACACTGTTCTATGTTATCATAAGGCTTATATTACGACAATAGTAAAGTTTCAATAACGTAATAAAGCGTCGATCATGTAGGACAGTACTAAGACTAATATAGTTAGTTACCTTTGTGATGTAAAAATGTGGAATCGTTCAGACAAGTCAACAATTGTATAACATAAGGCCTAACATGTTTTGTAAAGGATGTACAGATAGTATAACAGGATGTGGCATGTTCGTTTCCATACAAAGAAACGTTCAGGTAGGCGGGCTAGCAGAGTTAGCCGCGCTATTCGAGCCGAGATTAAGTTAGTCGACAGTAACGACAGACACAACACACCGATATGTTACCACACGCCACCCCATCATCATTCGTCGAGTACGAGTACCGCCATATATACGGCCATGTTCATCCACGACTCATTCGATTTTACGTTTCACTCGCCGGGGTCCCATCCACCAAATGTCATGTCATGGTCTACATTTTTTTATGTGTTTACGATTATTTTTGTGTGATAATTTTTAAGTGGAAGCGGTCGCAAGCGTGCGTGCCCTAACCTGGAGGGGCGCGGTGTGTTTGCGACCGCTTGTTAAATGTTCGGTGTTGTACACATGTCCTAATGATGCACATGCTTTCATTCGAGTGCGACAATTAATGGCGCAGTCGTCAGCTGCGAACGTTCGCTGGACACCCATCATAATGACACGTCTCGGCAATCCTTTTGAAACAAATATAACCCTAACAGCGTTTTCCTTGACGTTTAAAATAAAATATCTTCCCATAACGATTCATGGTTCAGTCGGTGACTGTTTTATTATTTCGGTGGCGTCCCGCGATCGTTATGCGCGTGTATGAGCGACCGCGTGCGCTCACTGCGCTCACTGTGCGCTCATTGCGCTCACTGTGCTCAGTGCGCCCGTTGCGCTCACTGCGTTCACGTCGCTAGTGTTTGTGTAGGTGCCCGCCATTTCCCTGGCCTACGAGGAGGCCGAATCTGACATAATGAAGCGCCAGCCGCGTAATCCTTTCACTGATAAACTCGTTAACGAGAGGTAACTCACCCCGGGTGACATCCGCACCCGTTAAAAGATATAATTAATTATTCTATTCGCTAATTGCTTGCTACCACGTGTAAGCTAGTCTTCAATATTGAGGTTTGGTTGTTGCCTGCGTGTGGACCGGTGTGGTTGTCCTGTCACTAATAGCTGTGTGGATATTGAAGGCGAACATCGCACCGCTCCTACTTATGCCTTGCGATGTCTTTATTAAAACATATTTCTATACTAACAGATATTCTTCTTAACGTGTAGCTTGATATCGCTGTGAAACAACGCGTTTTGATATGAAGCTCATCACTCAAACGCATTGTTTCATTTGTGCGGTTTTAAACTATTTTTTTTTATTTTATTATTATTATCAGTGGTTGTGCTTTTAAGGTAAGTTTATTCGGTGTCTCCTGTCTCTGTCATTTGTCTAACGTGCATGTGATTTAACTGTCTCATTCGTTACTAATAGATTTCTTTTACAACCCTCTTTATTAAGTTTTATATTTCTTAGTGTGTTTTATTTCTTTTTCTTTTTTTTATACGTTACTTTTTTCTCATCTCTTATCTCATGATCTCCATGCACACCACACAGTTTAGTATCACGAGACTCGTTTGTCATTCGATATACTCACATGGCCACAGCTTCACATACCCACCCGTCGTATATACATATGATACATGTATATATATATATATATTTCGTACTATCTCATCTATATACAATTGGTCAGCTACACTACCTGCATCATATGATATAGTACATATTATGTAACATATTCTGACGCTGCTAGGGCTTATACGTAACTTCTATCACTAGAGTAGTGTTTCAGATTTTTATGATAAAGGTAATATGATATTTTTCGAATTCTTGTCACGCTAATTTTCCTTATCTTATCTAGTTTATACGTAATAAAGTTAATTAGTCGTTAATTCTGGAGGATATCACTAGCAGTAGTATACAAGAAGTACGAGTGATGGGGGAGGTATAAATATTATGTACGTGTAATAACGCGGTGTAAGTGGTGTCGTATGTGCTGATTGGTTGGTGTTACCTAAGGTGCCTGCTATATCATTGGCGTACGAGGCGCCCGAGTCCGATATCATGAAGCGGCAGCCACGGGACCCTTACCGGGACAACCTAGTCAACAGAAGGTCGGCATCCACGCGCCCCACTGCCGAGCTTGTAGTACTGTCTGAGTGTTATCGACCGCTTTCACGACTCATTGCCCTCTTATTAAACCTTGTTTGTTTTTATTAATAACATCGACCTCTTTTGATCTGTGGCGGCGTAATACGTTACTTATATTTCAATGTTTATGAAAGTGTTAATTCAATATAAACTTAAACGATTGAATAACTCTTTTTGCGGTAAAAAATATCATTTTTTTTTTTGTTACCGATATTGAGAGTTTTCCGTGATTAGAGGGCATTAAGAGTATAGTGAGAGCGGTGAACTTGTGACTGAACCGACTACAACCATGACACTGGATGTGGAAGAGTGAGATGCAGCACTGAGCAATTCCTCCCCGCATAACGTTATCGAACGCCACAATTCCTCGGCTCCGTCGACCGTTGCCGTGATCGCCATATATTTCCCAGTAATGTCCCGTTATACCCAGTAAACTTTAAGCATCACGAAAGCCTATTGTAACTAGGCCTAAACACACTCCCGAGTATAATGTTAACAGCTTTGTGTTATATATACACAATATGTATACAAGATGTACCAGATACGACACTACTCACTTTCCTTCAAATTTCGAGTACGGTTTTCTTCCTTTAGTTTTGGAACGTTAAATTTTTTGAAATATCTATCTCATAGATATAGAGGAGGTAGTCCTTTATCTCTATCTCTTTAACCTTCACTCTTCCATGTTTAACGAGAGCGTTACTTACGAACGCGAGCACGTTACGCGGCAACTTTACCGAGGTGCTAGTCCTCGGCATAGCTCACTATATAATGAATTTATTTGTGTGATTTTTTCATGTTAGAGTAGCGCAGCTCTAGAGTTAGTGCAGTAATAATGCGTTTTCAATATATATATATATAGTTTCTAAGGAATGTGCTAGGTGACATGGAGCAATTAGTATTATATTTTTCAATCTATTTTTTATATAGCAAAATATTATTTTTATGTAACTATTAATAGAATCTAGCATGATATTACAATATCAGAACCACTCCGCTACAAGCGCTTTCGCCGCACGTACACACAACATTTTTGTTCACATTGAAAGCACTGAAACGGAAGCACTATGCGATGCATACGGTGTAAGTATTCATCTAATGCTTAGACATTTCGCATGTCATTTAACGAGTTGAAAAGCCTTAAAATTCTATTACATTACGATAAACGTAGTCGTTCTTCTCTTTCAATGTGAATGGACTATTAGGGTTCATTTATCCTCCCTAATTCTTGAGTTCTTTTTATTTTTTAAGATATTGTATGACCGCTGTATGACTTTAAGCCAGCAATTTTTTTTCAACACTAATAACATAATAATGATGTGATTAAATTTGCTCGAAAACGCTTACGTTTCGCTGTTTAACCTTAACAGGCTTACATCAATATTTTGTTCGATATTATCTATTGCTTTCGATCGGTCGATATTATTTTTTTATGAGTTCTAATATGGTTTTTTTTTTCAATTTTGATGTAAGCCGTATATAAATTATATTGGCATGCTAATGTTACAAAAAGGTAAGTAATATGATGGAATGTAAAAACAAACTCACTTGTAAGGGAAATAATAAAATAAAATGTTATAATTACGTTATTTGAAGTACATAAACATTACATCGATATTATATGAAATATGTATATAATTATAGTATTTTCATTATTTTCCTAACAATCAAATGATAATTGAAATGTGAAGTGGGAGAAACTGATAAGTTGTGTCAAACGAATTTTACGATATACAAAAATATCAATCGTTAAGCTAAATATCGACAGTAGTAGATATTCAGAATTTAATCGAAATAGTTCAATTTGTTAACTAAGTTTTATAATGGAATACTACTAATAATATTTTTTTAATAAGGACTAATATTTTTTTACATAAAGAAGTCACTTACTCACACTAGTTTTTACTACTACTAGGCATTAAAATTAATCTGCTTACATAGTTGAATAGAAACAAAACAATCACTCAATGAAATGAAGAATGGATATTTTACCATTAAAAGAACGTTGGCTTTCGAAACATACTGTTATTTGAATGTTGTGTATGATACTTGTGCGATTGTGGGCAGGCTAATCTCGATGGCGTACGGACAGATCGGAATGATCCAAGCGGCCGCAGGTTTCTTCGTGTACTTCGTCATCATGGCTGAAAATGGATTTTTGCCGCTGAAACTTTTCGGTATCAGGAAGCAATGGGACTCGAAGGCGATCAATGACTTGACCGACTCCTATGGACAGGAATGGGTGTGCATACAAAACTATTTCAGTTATTTATTCTCAGTAGCAATTTTTTTGTTTCTTAGCAGATGTTTATGGCTTGTTTCTTCACGTCTAATGCTGAATTGATTTTGTAAAATTTTAATTCGATTACTAAGGTAAATAACCTTATCTGAAGGAACTGAAATAAAGAAGCTTGTTTTAAATAAGTTTAAATCCCGGAAAACTAAATTAGTTTTATCCCGGTTTTGTGAGCAACGATTTCTGTATCAAATATCCTTTTATTAATGTATTTAAAATAACAAATAACTTCAAATATAAGAAAGTTCAGAGTTCAGAATTTGCCTTGACGGAGAACTAATGTACTCATCACAGTATTGCATTCTTTGACTAGACTTACCGCGACCGCAAGGCGCTGGAGTTCACGTGCCACACTGCATTCTTCGTCTCGATCGTGGTAGTACAATGGGCCGACTTGATCATCTGCAAGACCCGCCGCAACTCCATTATCCACCAGGGCATGCGCAACTGGGCGTTGAACTTCGGACTCATCTTCGAGACCGCGCTCGCCGCCTTCCTCTCGTACACGCCCGGCATGGACAAGGGTCTCAGGATGTACCCCCTCAAGTAAGTATGCGTTTGCAGTCTTTATCTAGTAATGGTATAGTCTCATTAACATTCAGGTACTAACATGTAGCTTATTGCTCGTCCAGGTTCGTGTGGTGGCTGCCGGCCATTCCATTCATGCTGTCGATCTTCATTTATGATGAAATCCGGCGCTTCTACCTGCGCCGTAACCCAGGCGGCTGGCTGGAACAAGAGACTTACTACTAGATGCCCCTCCCCTGCCCGCCTGCCCCGCCCCCCCCCCCGCCCCGCACCCTGCACGCGCGTGCACACCCCCCGCGGGGCCTGTGGCCGCCGCCGTGCCCGACCGCCCCCGCTCGCCCCGCACGCCCCGCGGCCCACCCCGCCCCCGCCCCTGCCCCCGCGCACATTCACCGTTATCGTTCGACGAACTATGTATGTATATATGCACAGTGGAGTATGAAGTTTGATATTTGTGATGATAAAAAATATACGCGTACTATTATTTTGGAATCATGTTATTTTTGTATCGAGATGGTTTATGTGATTTGCGTATCTCGGATGTCTCGCGAGACGGCGTCGTCGGTTCGAGCCAACCGCGCGGCCGCCGACGTTGAGAGTTCGTTGTAAAATTAACGTTTAAGAAGCCATTATTATTATTATAATTTAAGTGAATTAGATTAAGTTGAGTTTTCGGTGTGAACAGAGTTCAGTTGGAGATTCGGTCGGGTGCATGATGTATGAGAGTTCGATGTGGAGTGCCCGAGTTCGATGTACTACCGCTTATTGTTAGGTAGGTAGTTGAAATTTCGATGCCGTATTTTGAATTGTAAAAGTAGATAATGGAGCATCAGACGGACGCGTCGCTTCCGCAAGACGTCGGCCGACGCGCGCCGACGCTTTACTTTTATAACCGATAATCTGATCGTTAGCGAATCTCGTCAAGTTTATTAAAATAGGCTGCTCATGATAATTACGTAAGATTTTATTTCTTAATTAAAAGATAATAACAAAACGTAGGGATGCGTAATTAGAAATTTTTAAAATTATACAGTTATGATAGAGAGTGGAGTTGCGTTACTCCCCCCGGCCCCCGGCGGACGCGGCGAGGGGGGCCTAGGGGAGATTCATTTCGATTTTTCGTAACGAATACATATAACATTATAATAATGGTTACAAAAGTAAAATATAACATTATAGCGACTAATAAATCTAAATTATATGAAATGTTTATAGATTTAAATGAAATTCGTTTCTTTAGGGTGACCTTCTGTGCTTGTTCGATGATGACGATGTTCATCTCACTGACAATACGTCGTCGTTGATGATATTATGATTGTAACGATCCGATCTTGTGAGCGGTTTGTTTAACCTACACTGTAGAGACTAATATTGTTTTGCGTTCGACAGTTCTTTACACCGATTCATTTTATAGTATTACTCTGTTGGCTAGGAGCGCTGTAAAAATGTAAGTGTTAATAAAAAAAAACATTTTCAAAATATTATTCTGGTGTTTTATTATTGTTTAATTTTAAACCTTTTAGAGTACTGTTGGTGAGTGCGTATGTATGTGTGAATGTGTGTGTGTGTGTGTGTGTGTTTGTTATCTAATTGTGGTTGTGCGCTTGCATGATTGGATCTACTTAATATTTGGTGAACCACGCAAATTCATAAAGATAATGCTATGAAATAAACAGTATTAATAAGGGTTATTTTTTATTTTAGTAAGTATTACTTGGTTCCCTTTCTGTTAGATAAAGACTAGAATAATTAAATAAAACAGTTTTTCAGCCAGTTTATGACTTTAATCAAAAAGTAATCGGATTCGAAGTAATTTTATACCATCAAGTGTCTTATGGAATTATGCGTTAGTTAGTTAGTTAGCAACGGTAAACGTGTAAGCTTGAATTCCATATATTTGGCAGTTCTGACGTAAGCATCTTCCGTCAGATATACACCGATCCTTAACGAAATTGGCTTCAAAGTAATTTTATACCACTTTTGAATAAAAACTATTTGAGATTATTTAGAAATTACAGTCAACAGTACACTGTACTTAAAATCTCTTTAGACTGGCAAATCATTTACTAAACGAAATAAATGTTTAAAAAGCAATACATGCGATCTTTATATTATTTTAGGGATACTGAGACGAAACGACACTGTTTTGTAGTTTTTATCAGCCACTAGATGGAGCTGGTGTAAAAATGAATAAAGAATTATTTATCTGGTTTAGTATTCGCAATAACTATAAGTATAGATTATCATTTCTACCTTCAAGTAAGACTTAAGTGAAAAAATTGACTTGAACCTGACATGATTCGTTTTTTTTAAATATATAAATAATCACAAATGCTTTGCTTTCATTGGTAAAAAAAAGTTAAGCAGCAAAGCTCTCTGTTGACAATCAAATTTAACACAACTGTGTTGTTAAAGAATTTTTCTATTTGTAACTACATAAAATTAATTAATCATCAACTTCCGAGTAACAATTTTACAAAGATAACAGTTTAAATCATGAATGAATCAATACCCATATCCTAGAACAACTTAATATCTTAACTTGTTCGTAACAAAATTTACTTGTACGTTTCAGACGTAATGAATAAGAAAAAGTAGCGTATCAAAAATTTTGGTTTTCGAAGTCCTGACTTGAATCTGAAACATAAGCCAGTAACTCGTTGGAAACAAATTGGAACACTATACCGATGGAGTTGTGGTTATTTGATCATCTCATACTCAGAATCCAGGTAATTAAAAAACAATTATGCTTTATATCCCGTAAGTAAATGAAGCATATGGTTTTTGAAGTGTGATACTCTCTGGCAGTACCACCACCACTCTCAACATTCTTATACAGGGTTATTTGTGAAACACCTACAACCACGCAGGAATAGATTGCTAACATAATAAACAACATTTGATTTACTAGCCAAAACACTCCAACTCCAACCAACCACTCAACATTCTTATACAGGGTTTTTTGTGAAACACCTACAACCACGCAGGAATAGATTGCTAACAAAATAAACAACATTTGATTAACTAGCCAAAACACTCCAACTCCAACCAACCACTCAACATTTTTATACAGGGTTATTTGTAAAACACCTACAACCGCGCGGAAATAGATTGCTAACATAATAAACAACATTTGATTTACTAGTCAAATCACACATATATTTTATTTAGAGTATTGCTTAATAAAATATATTTTTAATTAAGGGTTGATGCAGACCTGAAGAAAGATCCGTCAAATATTTTACGGAAGTATGTGATAGTAAGCGACGGATATTCCGTGCAAGCTTGACAGTTATGTTTGTCAGTTCTTACGTACGCATCTATCATTAGATACGCAACTATCTTATATGTACGTCACGGACCGGTGAAGAACATACATAATGTAACGATTTAGTTAACAGACGTTATTTATGTTTGCTATCTTACCCCTGCTATTTTGTTGATGATTTTCAACTAACCTTCTATATCTCCTAGCGTTACAACAATGTATTGAAAGTCCATGGATCCTGTGGGTAATGATTTCCGTAAGGCTAATTGTTTTCAAAGAGTCAACATGCTGTATCCTGTTACCACCAGGCAGGTATAACATCAGTTCAATTATTTTATAAAGTATTCATAAAGTTTTTGAAAAGCAGAAATGAGTGAGTATACGTATCTGCCAGATGAATCAAAAGGTCTGAGTAAAAATAATATTTGTGAAGCTGCCATTTGTTTTACTTTTGAGTAAATGATTTAGGAGAAGTAGGTGTAACGACAATAAGTTCTGATTACATGACTAACGGTCAGTTGCACAAACGTCCATTAATAATAATAATAAGATTCATTATCTCCACAAACTTTTTACAACTTATAAAATACAATAAATCTTATTTTCGATTTAATTATGCCTTTAAGCTTTAATTAATGTCTAATTTTCTCGGTAATGTCTGTTTAAACTAATGGCAATTTTAATGGACGTTTGTGCATCTGGCTATAGGGCTGATTCTACTGTAGGTATATCATTTATATACACGCACCAACAGAGGGGATTTATAAAATTAGCCAAATTTCACGAACCAATTTTGGACTTCACCAGTAATAGACTCAAGGTTTAAAATCAATTGGAAAAATTGGCTTTTTGCGGTAACCTGACGTGTTGATGACTGTATATCTTAAAACTGGTCAACTGAATGAAAATATAATTCTGCTTCATACATTATTTCCAAATTATTTATTTGATGTAACTATACCATCTAATGATTAATTAAATATAATAGGATCAGTATATACAATTTACAAAAAAACTAGTAGGTATTTACAATTGTTATACCTAATTGTAAATTATACACGGCCACGGTGCATATTCACACTAATATTTTTTACACTTTGCTTATACATAAATACACAACATAAAGTATTGTTATACTTAACTAATACATTGAAAAAAAAAAAGAAGTATACTCAAATAATAAAACATACAAAAGAGAAACACACAGCTAAAGTAATATTTTATTCAATATCACTCATTAAGCGACTGAATGGTTACGCGGGCGTGATCCCAGGGGTGTAGGGGTGGCGAGCAGCCTCGGCCTTGACTACTGTATCCTGTCGCTTATAGAAACCTGTTACTATGTACAAGACATACTTATATAAGATAGCTAGACGCCTATAGATAGGGCGCGCGGGCCTCTACACGCCCCGTCGTGCCCCCACGAATATACGCATGCGTCGATCTGTCACCCGCCATGCCAACACATTACCCCAAAGTCGCAAAACTAAAAGGAAATGTAAAACGCAATGTTCCCCAGCTGAACGATGGTGGCCAACATTGGCGTTTTAAACCCGTCTAATGGTAATGAGTGCGTTGAATAAAGGTCGCGTTGTACATTGATTATTTTTAAAGTGCACCCACCGATTCTTTGTGATTAGTGCTCGCACAAACTAAGGAACTTGTGCAAGTCGCAACGATTGAGTAGTGCTAAGGGTCGTTCCGGTCCAAGTCATAGTTTCATATATTGAATAGAACTGAATGTTGTTGTGGTACAGTGGAGGCGACGGCGTATATAAGCGTGGTGGCGGCGTTCGCGACGGCGGTGCTGGTGGTGCTGCTGCTGCTGGGCCGCCGCTGGTGCAACACGGCTCCACGCCACCACGACCACGCGCTAGCGGTCACCGCCAGTCCGCCACAGCTGGCCATCAACGATGCTCAATTCGGTTAGTAACAAAAGGATATTATTTTTTTTATTACAACAATTGAAAAGATACCTATATTAGATCTGTACAAAGGTATTAAGATAGATTAGAATTTAATTAAGTAATTTCAAAGCTATTACTTGGTACCTATATATTTTTCTAACGGTTCTAGAAACATTATTTGTCGTGCTTGAATCAGTGTATTCATAAGTATATGACCATGAACTATACAAATAAAACAGTCGTAGTTTATTGATTTCGTTGTCGTTTTATAGTTAATTACTAAGTGTGTAAATGTGTGAGGGTTGCCATATTAGCATTGCCCTCCTTTACGAAGGTAGTGGTGGCTACAACAGATAGACATACTAACAAGTGTTAATAATTTAGTGACTCGCTCTAGGGCAGTTAAACGAGTAGTCCTCAAGGCCGTTAACGCAAGCTTTCTTTGTTCTTTTGTTTATATTTAAACACATTACATACATATACCTAAATTTACATTTGGTGCTTTGATAAATTGAAGTGATAGCTAGACATACTTACATTAAATTTTTAGTGCGTAGATAGTAGTTTCGTATAATATATTATAATTCAAACTTAGTGCTATGCGTATTTTTATTTAAATTTAGACGTCAGTTAGACACACTTTTGAAAAGCATATTCACTGAAATTCAAAAGAGACCTTGCAGTACTCTGAATAAAATAGGTACCTATGTATTTTTGTCTTTATAATGCACATTGTGATGCCATAAGTATCCGATGGACTGTATATCTGTGTTGTTATAGATGCTTTGTCGAAACCGAAACATTATCCTGAACGAATATTCACGTTCGAAGCCTCCGATTCGGACGAAGAGCTGCGCTTGCGCATACAACAGGTGAGGGCGCTGGAACAAAAACGAACTTTTTGTTATCCTGACAAAAAACAATATAAAAAATTCTATGAGAAACAAATCAGATTCCACTGTTTTTAACCGACTACCGTTTATCATTAACTAGAATGGTATTAAAAATATATTTGTTTATCCGTAATATTTACACGTAATTAGTTTCTTAGTTAGTAGTAGAAATCCCGTTGTGTCTAGATTTAGTTCTTTATGTCTTTTATTCTTAATTCCTTGCTATTTTTTTGTATGTAAGTTGCAAACTTTTTGACGTATCATACTGTATAGTATACCTACAGTCGACACGATAGCACGTCTGATAACAAAATATTTCTAAAAGATTCTACTCCTTAATCAGCAGATAGTTAAGCACAAAACTGGTTGCAGAGATATGACCTGTTGTCGTAAATTTGACTACTACAAAATTATTACTTTATATTTCTAATGCTTAGTGTATTTTCAAGATGAGAACATCAGATGTTTCTCTTTAAGACTGGTAAATAATCGAACCGTCTATCTGTTGAAGAAGGAGAAAATGAAATTTTATGGCATTTTCAAACAAATCTGAAGAAAAAGTATTTTTAAATATATTTTTAACAGAAAATGCTATTCAAATTATATTGAAGTTTGAACAACTAAATTATTATTACAGAAAATTTTAAGATATAGAAGTTAAAGTACCGTATAGAAGTAACATAGCAATCCTACTCTAGGTTTGAACCATTAATTCGATTTTGCACCCTATATGTATTAGGATAAAGAAGAAGTGGAATGCCATTATGAGGAGAAGAACGAGAATCTGGCGGTCGCCAAGCTGGACATAGAGCTGGTGGAGACGGCATTGCGGGAGACCAGAATAGACGATGCTACACCTAGACCACCATACCTTCATTCTCTGGAGCCGCAAAGTAGCGTTGATAGTGATGTCATCGCACATAATGTGAGTGACAATAACTTATGAGTGGGTTATAATGCGGTTCTCTTTGTGTTCGTCAAAATAACAAAAATCAGAGGTGCACAGATGACCATATTAGTTCCAGCTCGAGTAACTGAGCGACAGCCTAACTCTTCTAGCTATAACTCTAGCCATAAGAATTAACATCTTTATGTTGTAGCGCTATGTACTTTAATAACGAAGAAACCAATGATAAATATGGATTTACCAGCAATGGTTCCAATTTAGTCATTTACTTATCCCAAATATATCCACCAAAAAAAATGAAACGAAATATAGTCATAATATTCGCTAAGATGTCGTATCCGATAGCTAAAGAGTTAGTCTGACAGTGAGGCACGAAGTTTGTTTATACTCTCTAGTGTTCCAATCTTACTCTTTTGGTACATAACCCTAGGGTAAACACACCGGCCCGCGTAGCATAACAAGATCTAAAGAAGTTATGTTTATAGCCAAATATCACTTTTCTCGGGTGCGCCTATAAATTCATTCTCTCGTCGTGTTTCTCGAATCTTTTGAGCTTATCCTTCGCCTTCAAAAGACTGCATCATATTAATGAAATCTGGAGTAAAATCAATTAAATAAAACAAATACCCACGTTGAAAAGTTCATTGACCTTGATTAGATACTTTTTTTTATAGGAACACGAATACGAAAGGGAAATTTGTTTTCGTAGCACCACTGATTAATGCTTTCGCGACTGTTTGAGACACTAACTACACTGACCAGGAGAGCTACCCTCATCTCTTATTGCAATTTTTAATCCGTGCAGCGAGCAGGACAGCACTATACGCGGACACACTATATAGCGGTGTCCCGCTTGTTGCACGGATTAAGCATTGCTGTGACTGCTCATATTTGGGCCCCAGGTTATAGAGTTGAAGTCGTATTCCCTTTATGGTATATTAGTATACCATAAAGGGAGTACATTAATTGTAAAATTATATTAATTATATATTATTATTATATTAATATAACAAACAGATTTAACATAAGTTTCATAATGTATAGATTGTCCATTATATTAATTTACGGAATGGCATATACTTTATTACTTATTAAACAGTAAAATATAATAATTTGGTGGACAGGACACATCGTTGCTATGTGGGGAAAGTGGCTCTCAAGAACGGGGTTGTGTGGAATTGACGTTGTTGTACGACGCGCCTGTACGCAGTATGACCGTGCATATACTGCAAGCGCGAGGGTTACCCCCACCCCCGCCCCCGCGCTCCACTCCACCCCCGCCTCAACCACCACTGCAAACCCAAGTAACTACACTTTGACTACAATAAGCTACTAGACTGTTATAACATTAAATTATGAAATATTTTGGAACTATATAGTTATAACTATATAGTATGGTACAATGTACGTGTTTGTTTTTATTTTAAAATATATTGCAAGTATGCATTTACTATTTATACTCTACGGATTACAAGAATCGAAATGTGGGCGGCCATGACAGTGCACCGTGCGACGTCATATTTCAATAAACTAAACGTCAATGTCTTTATTGCGTGTGTAACCAGTACTCGTGTTTATTGAATTGTGACGTAACGGCTTAAAATGACACGAGATTGACTATTTTCGGCTATATTAACCATGAATTAAAATATATTTTAAGCATTTTTCATTAAAATATTTATCAGTATGCACAGAAATATGTTTATTCTTTAATTCATAACACGTTCAAAAATCTACGAGAAAAATCAACTGATAGTTGTTGAGTATGATCATTTGAACGTTTTAAAACATTTTTTTTTCAAACAGTCAAGTAACCAATTAGAATAGAATACATGTGCAGAAGGTTAATTGTTCTACAACTAGAATAATCCGAGTGTCACACCATCGGACGATCCACCAGTTTCCACGCGCCTGACTACTACTGAACGCGAGTAAGAAGAACGCCTCATTCGTTTTATTTTACATCTAATGATAAAAGAAACAAGACTATAACTCTAAATTTAAATAGTACGTTTGGTCATCGTCGGATTGGTGGATATACTCTGATCAGAGCAACCAGAGATTCTCTATGCGCCTGTAATAGCTACATATAAATAGTACAAGAACTCGCGACGAAAATGTACAAGTTTTATAATTGTTGATACTTTATTATGTGAAAATACTTACGGTATACATCACTCAGTACTCAGGAAATCAAGGTCTGGAACACCTGATGGCGGTAGCACGCTAAATATTTTAAAAATGTAACAGGCACTAAAAGTGCTTCGTATAGTATATAATTTGGCGCAAACTTGTTCTTAATATAAAATATAATAAACTGTTAATTTGCTTCGTAAAAAAGTTTCGTAATGGTTGAAAATTGATTATTTACCTACTAAAATATTATAAATAAGTTTATGAAAAAAAACTCAGATTTGATGGAACATCATTATGTAGTAGCAAAGA